TCAAAGGGGCAGTGTAGCATTAATGCATGCTATGAACATGTTAAAAAAATAATGCGTTAATCCTGTCCTGCATTAATTGCAGACATTAATGCAGGTCAATTGACAGCCCTAGTACTTATATCTGGCAAAACACAAAACAAAATCTCAGCTTTTTAGAGAACTTGACTATTTAAAAGAATAGTAGTAAATTATAGATCTAGCTAGATGGGTATCTAAAGCACTGGCAGTCCAAATCCAATCCGGATTAGTGGGGAATATAAATTCTTACCATAAAATGGCTATTCAGTGCCAGTGTAAAAAATAAATTTGAAGATCACAGGCCATTTCTTAGTGAACAGTTGTCCACATCACAAAAAGCACTATTACTGCTGTAATTTAATTAGCTTCACTGGTGACAATACCAAGAAAGGCTAAGATCTGAATGATCATCAGAAGATTATGAAACAGTCCACTGATTTACTCAGGCAGTAGAGTAAAGAATGGTACTGCTAGATACATTTCTTGCATCAAAGGTGCAGGCTCCCAGAGGGAAGGATTCTGCTTTAATACAAAAAGTACTCCAAGTGGGCTGAGCTCTCCTATTACGATTGACACAGGGCAAGAGGATACCCTACCATGTAAGTAGCCTACTACATATTTGAGAAAGTATGTCAGTGTGTGACTAAGCAAATCTGTCTGTCTGTCCATCTGTCTGTTCGTTCAATAACTCCTTTTAAACAGTAAGAGCTAGGACCACCAGATTTGGTGCACAGCTTCTTCTTATCATAGCTTAAAGCAAGGTTAAGCCAAAATGATAAGATGTTCTTGGAATGTGACTGTTCTTTATAACACAGAAAGGGAATGGGCTTGTAGCAGGGACAGTTATACTGTGTAATAAGTATAAGGGCGCAGGACAGCTATAACCACATTACAGCAGCAGGTGACAGAAGTGGAGCTAAGGTTTCCACCTGCCATTTGGGCAGGTGAGAGCCCCACCATGGCCAGTTCTGGGGATTCGTTCCCTGGGCAGCATGATCCCTGCCACAGCCAGCCCCAGGTATCTGCGGCCTAGGCAGTGCAGCCCTCACTACCTCAGCCAGCCCTGGGAAGCTACCACCTGGCCTTCAAAAAAAAATAGATTCTAGGTCATTAGAATTAATTCAGACCAGGTTAGTGGTGACTGAAAGTCTGTATCTCTGAGCTGACCAATATTCTGGGGACAGTGTAAACTAAGTTTGCTGGTTTTCCGAATTGGAATTGGTGTCCAAGTCTCAAAAACCATCCGCAGTAATTGTGCTACTTGCTGCCATTTCAAGGAATTTCCACAGACACACCAAGAATTAAATGAGTATAGAAACCTAACACTCACTACTCATCATCTAGAGGTCTCTGCAGATATGAACTAAGAATATGTCTACACTGCAAAGTTAATTTGAAATAACAGCCGCTATTTCAAATTAACTTTAATAGCGTCTATACATGCAAAAGGTTATTTCAAATTTAATTTAATTCAAAATAGCAGAGCCCTTAATTCAAATTTGGTAAACTTCATTCTATGAGGAGTAACACCAAATTCGATATAGCTATTTTAAATTAAGTGCTGCGTAGACCCTTAATTCGAAATAGGGGGCCTTCAGCCCATCCTAGGGAGCCCTGGTGGCCACTCTGTACACAACCAGGAAAATTTACTCTCCTCTCCCCCAGCCCCGAGCCATTAAAGGGGTAGACCCTCGCCACAGTGCCTGTGTGAGCTCCAAGCCTGCCAGCCCAGAGCCAGCAGTGGCCCCAATCCAGTGGCCCCAAAACATGAGCCAGCAAGCCACTGGCAGCCAGCCCTGCACCGCTCTCCAGGAGCAGTCTACTAGCTCCCAGGAGCCAGACAGGGGTGGGAGAAGGCAGGCGCCTTTCTGGTCCAGGGTGGAGATCATGGACCTAATTCAGGTTTGGGGGAATGCCCCCAACATCCATGATCTCCGCACTAGATGGACGAATGTGGCCATCCATGGCAGGATAACTGCCAGCCTGGCCACCAAAGGCCACATGTAAACTCAGGAGCAGGTTTGCATGAAAATCAAGTTGGTCTGGTGAGACCCCCCAAACCTGAGCCCTGACCTTCCCCTCCCCCTTCTTCCTCTTGCTTCCCCCTTTTAACTCCTTCCTCCCAGGTTTCCCCCTCCCCTCTCCTACCCTCTCTCTTCCCCTCTCCCACCTCCTTTTCCTAGTCTCCCCAGAGGTTTATTGAAGAGTTTTGTTCAATAAACCCAGTTTCTATTTTTGAACATATCTTTTATTTGACATCAGGAAGGGGGGCTAGTGAGGAGTAAGTGGAAGGATGTGAGGGAGGAATGGGCCATGAGCCCCCGGTGGGGAAGACCGGGGAGGTTCTGAGGGCTCCTCTGCGTGGACGCTTTCCCTCAGGGCCTCCTGGATCCTGAGAGCTGCCCAATGGACCCCCCGGATGGCAGCCTGCAGCAAGTGCAGCCGGGCTGATGGCGGCGATCCATGAGACGCACCAGTATGCCCAGGGGCAGCTCTGGCTCCATGTGGCTGAGTGTTGTGATGTCCCAAGTTTGGGCACTCAGGGCACTCCAAGATAGGACTGCTTTGCTGTCCCTCATCAAGGTAGACAAGCAATCAGGGAACCCTGAGAACTGTCTGTCCGGGGTGGGATTAGGGTCCCTTTAAGCATGAAGCTCAGTTAGCCTCAGGCAGCAGCCCCACACACTAAGTCCTAACCTGATGCCCTGCCGGCATTGGTTCCAGCCAGCCTTAACTTTATTTCAGGGTCCACTCAGTGTGGACATGCTATTTTGAAATAGCAAAACACTATTTTGAAATAGTTTTTGTGTATAGATGCATTATTTCTAAATAGCTTATTTTGAATTAACTATTTCAAATTAAGTTAATTCGAAATAGCGCTGTAGTGTAGACATACCCTAAGGCACGAACTGTTTGGGACAATTTGAGCTGAAACCTGGGATAATCGTCGTTCCCCCTCCACCCCCCGGTACTTGCTCAGTCAATACACAGGAACTTTCAACATCTAGTTCCAGACCTTTGACACTTTTTTTTTACCAGCATTTCATTTAAAATGTAAAGAAAAATATGAATTGTCTCTTTATAGTAATTAAAGTTTTGCAGGAGATGTCAGTGGCATTTTAATTCATACCAATTGCCTTTATTCCCTACGAAGAGTTTGCCTAAGCTTTTAATTTTTTGGTTTTTGTCAGGCTGAGAAATAAACATACTTAATTTTTTTTTAATTTGACTTTGCTGGCAATCATCAATAAAATGGAAGTAACACAAAGATGATAACTGTTTAAACTTTGTAATAACTTTATAAATGTGCCTAATGCAGATATTGCACATATCTTCTCTGTGCTCTGCAGTCAAACTGGACAATGAAACGACCACCTGTTAACTGCTAACAATGTGTCATTACCAGTTCTCATGCCTTTTTAAAGCAATTTTGGCTCTAGCTGCCGATAATTCTGGCGACGATACTTGTGTGAACATTAAGGGCACAGAAAGCCAAAGGCAGAAAACTGACAATACAGTTTGTGCTTAGACTACTAATAAGTAAGTGAATACTATGATTTTTCTAATTCTACATAATTACTTAATGTCATGGGACAAAAAAAAAAAAATTCCAGATACATATTTCAAGCAATCTTGTCTACTGTATTTAAAGAGAGGTTTCACAACATATATTTTTAATTTTGAAAACCGTTTAAATAGCTTTTAACAAGAAAGAGGCCACTAACAATTCTCTAAGGTTAGAAAAGAAATGTGGACTAAGTTTATGTCAGTGACGGTGATCACGTTCTTCTGTTCTGTCTCCTAAATCATTGTTGAGTGAAATATAAGAATTGTGATACCATGAAAACAAAAAAGGTCAGCAAATAGTGAGGCAGTTGCAAGGCACTTTGCCATAAATTTTAGCTAAAATAGGATCAGGCCCGTAGGGTTTTTCACTGCTTGTTGAGCCTGTTTAAAAAAAAACTTATAGCAGAAAATATAATTTAAAACACAAGGATTTATACACACATTTTTACATGCTACAAACAAAGCTGCTTTACAGTCTATTAACAAAAAAAAAAAATCTATTCAACTGGACAAGCTACAGAAACCAAATATGGCTAAGGTTTCAAAAGGAGGGAGTTAACTGAATTTAATTTTGTATATACATGTGCCATTCTTATAATCGTTACCTATGTTAGCGCCCATTTACTAAGGAGAATGAATCATCCATCCATCTTGCTGTGCTACTTCTAAGTCTTGTATAACTTTGGGTTTTAATATGGTAATCCTGTAAAGAGCTGTGTACAGGCAGATTCCTGTAGAGATCTACCATTGTGTGCATATTTCAAGGTATATGGAAATCTGAGTTTATTCCAGAATCTGTATGTCCATCTCATATATAAAAAAAGGGAAGCAATACTAAACCTGAGGGTGTGTATGGTATCAGGAAGCCATGAAAAAGCTGTGCCTTTAGTCTTTACAAAATTCTTAACATCTCAATGCAATTTTAAAAAGAAAGTTTATCGGGGGTGGAATAAATCATTACTTGTTGCAGAGAATTTTCCTTTAGAATCACCCTACGCAAATTAAATAAAACTTTAGATTTCTGAAACTTAGTTTCTGGTTGTCTGATGCAAAGGATCTGCCATTTTTCTGTACACAACTCAAGTGAACAAACATCAGACAAAATTATCAAAATTAGTTATTTTACTGAAATAGAAATAAAACCATTGTGACTGAATGTTAGCATATGATCCATGTGTCTTACTTTTAAAATAAACACTTTGGACTCATGTCTTTGCTTGTGGAATTTAGTTAGATTAAAAGACAATGTCTCCCCAACTCAGATACCCACAGATAAAAATTGTCCTTTGCTTAGATGTAAATTATTTACCTAACAAGGGCAAAAATAAGCCCAAGTATTAAGTTCCTATTTTTATTAAATTTTTCATATAATCAAAATTACCTTATATAAACAGTTATTTAATTTAAAAACTTACTTAAAGATCTTCTGTGTTCAGACTTTGGTTCTTTGGACTCAGTACTTAAGCTGTTCAGTAATTCACTGCTAGAGGATCTTTGAAGTTTGAACTCCAGATTTCTTGGTGCACAACTCTGCTCTTTTGGCTGGAAATAATGATTTTTCAAAATATACAGTTATTATATGGTACAATTAAGTACAAAATTACAGAACACTCATAGAATCAGAAATGCATAGACATTTATACCAGATGATATAATGAATATTTAAGTTAAGGAAAGTGTAATACAAAACCTGTTCACCATAAGACTGCTGTTTTATAACCCTTACAGTTGGTTTTAATTTCTCAAATAAATTTCAGATGCTAAATTGGAAAACAAAAAGCCTAATTTTTTTATGTTGGTGACTGAAATGACTTCCCCATTGTATGTGTGTCCAAAGGGTGTTTTTGAATTATTGTACAGAGGAAGTATGTTTAAAACACTCTGCCTTCCTCTTAGAAAATTACAAATAATTGTTGAGGTTCAGATACCACTAAGGTTTCTGTTTGAAAGCATTCTGGAGGTGGAGAGAAGGAGAGGACTCAGTGATCTCCCCTCTTGCACTTCTTCACCCATATGGAAGGCAACCAGAATGGGACTGGTTTCATACAAGAGGGGTAGTGCTATTGAAGATGACGATACTTAACATTCCCCAAGGGAGTGCAAAATGCAAGCTCAGATACATTTTTAAATAAAAGTACACATTGCATCTAGGGGAAGAGGAATGCATGGATCAGAAATCATGGTGCTATTCCTGTCAGTACCTGGCCTGAGCTGAGGAAGCTAATGATCCAACCAGCAGAGCAAATTCAGTGATGAATCATGGTCATGTGCCAGCAGGGGTACCCACAGCTTCTACTGGCCTCAGGGCAAGGTGGTGGAGGGCATCTGTGTGTTTCCAGAAGGGACAGGGCCTCAGACGGAATGACCGGGGCTGGGGACAGCCAGCCCTCCATGATGCCTGGATTACACTGCCCCTTTTCCCTCCAGCTCTCAGCATCACCTGGAGCACAGTTCTCTCCTCCACCCCTCAAAGTCTTCAGAGCCACATGGAGTGCATGGCTCAGTGCTCCAGCGGCGATTTTAAGGGCTTGGAGCTCCAGCCACTGTTGCATCAACTATCCCTTCCCCCCCCCCATCCCCATATTGGAGGGCCTGTGTGCCAATTAAGGCACATTGCACATACACCAAGAAGAAGATAGTTATAGTTGCTGCATCTGTGTATAATCAGCAGTCCACAGTGACTTGACAACATGCATATGTCACTGATTTGCATAGATAACATGGGGGCAGACACTCAACTGGTATAAACTGTCATATTTTCACTGATGATGATAATTTACATCAGCTGAGCATCTGCCCTTATGTGCCCAGCTGCTACTGGTTTGTTTCTTTGTGCTCCCTTCCAAAGAGGCTCAGGCCCTTAAAGCCGGGATTTTTCCTTTAGAGGCATATTAAAAGAACGGAAACTGAATTGAAAGGAGCATGACAGAATAACATAAGCAAGAAGGAGTTTCTATAGAAACTCCACCCAGAACTCTCCAGTAGGATAACAAGTAATAGTACATTTGACCAATGAAATTCAACATACAAAAATTCTCATATCGAACTCCCTTTGGCTGATTATAGCTTGCATATATTACATTGCCTATAACCCTTTAAAGAAGCTGTGGCCATGTACAAATTAATCCTTTCTGACATGTCACATAGACCACAGTTTCAGGTGGTATCCACTCAATTTCAGCAAAATTCCCTGGAAAATTCAGTATATTTTTGTAGAAATTTGTAAAAAATATCTGTTATTGAATCAGGCATAGTGAGAAAAAAAGGATTCGGAATTTGTACTTAGCATTGGAAAAAGAAAAAAAATATGGATGAATTGGGTTCGGTAATTAAAAATGGTTTTCATAAAATACAGCTCTGCTTATTTCTAGAAGAAAAACCCATGCCTTCCTGGGAGAATAAGAGCAATCAGTTACAAAGGAATATTATTTGATAGTGCTATTCTTGTGAATAAGTAATATGAAAATGCATAAAAGGCTCAAATGTATTAATAGTTCTATTGAAGATTATATACTGTAGGTCACATAAACAAAAAATGTAAAAATTCATTAGTTATTAAGCTCTTGTGTGCTTTTTACAACCCACAGTAAACCAATGCCCTTGTTATTTCAGAGAAATAAATGCAGCATTCTGTTTTAAAGATGGGAATAAAATGACTTTTTAGCTCTACAAACTTGCTTATCTGCCTTTTTTTTACAAGATATGCATATATATTTATATATACTTCAAATAAAGGAATGTTTCACAAGCTAGCTAGCTTTCTCCTGTCTAAAACCGGTATAGATGCCTAAGCAAATGAAGTTTAAATTACTACATCTTAATTAATAAAGGTAACAGCCAAAACAAATACATACCAATCTGTCAATTGCATTTTTGATAGCGTGGAACCAATCCAATATGATGAAGTCAATATCTGACTGAAGCAGGAACTCATTTCCTGATGCCGTTGTGATCTGGTTGGGGGAAGGGTGGAAGAAATGACAGGTAAGAGAACCACCCAAAATAGATCATTTTATTTTAATTTTATTAATATATACTCTCTCACACACTAAATGTTTTCTTTTTGTGTCAGTAATTATCTCTTAGAGAACTGGGAGTTACCAAGCAGTTTTGAACCTCTTTCTGAAAACTGTTAGTCTGTGTCACAACAAATGACTTATTGTCTCGGTAATATAAATATTAAATACAAAGAGTACCAAAACAATGTGAATATGACACAAGCTAAGAAAAGCCAGGGAATTCAGAGTTAAGACAGATGGTTCAAATTTAAGTCAAAGCATTCTAGAAAAAAATGTACATGCATGTGTTAGAATTAATTGTGAATTTCCTGTCATTTTCAGTTGCTGTTTCAACTCTGCTAGCATGCCTCTTTCTGAACACTTCAGTCAAATTAACATGGGTGTTATTTCTTTTTAAAAAACACATAGATATCTATAGCAAAGTAATTAGGAGCCCATTTACCAAGAAAAATAGTTTATTTGAATACAAGTCAATTTACATTTCTGACCCCCACACTGGGAATATTTATCAAAAGAATATTAATTCCCCTGACATGCAGCTCCACTATCTAATGTAGCTGGCAATATTTGGTGTAAATATGCACACTTTTTTTCTCTCAGTCTGAATTTTTTCTGAAGTGTTATAGTAATTATTTATATTTGGAGAATCAGAGAACGGCCATGTCATCACACAGAGGGACAGCACAAGGAAGATGCTGAGAACCAGATACATGCAGGTGAGCTATACATTTGGCCATTCATTCACACATGCTCCAAACATTGTTACTGGGGGAACCAAATTCTGAGGCTTTTACTCATGCCTTTTACAAGTAAGGAGTGAATAAAAATATTGTAAGGTTAGCAACATTTGGACTTGGATTTTCACTTAAACGGACACTGTGTGGTATTACTGTCTAATCAAGGTGCAACAGGCAAGTGTCATTACCACCTAACCTGTTATGCTATTAATCTGACCACACTTGGGCTGTGTCCAGACTCAGGGGTTTTTTCGGGAAAAGTAGCCTTTTTCCGAAAAAACTTCACCTGTGTCTAGACTGCAGCCACGTTCTTTCGAAATTAAATCGAAAGAACGCGGCTTTTCTTTCGACGGCGGTAAACCTCATTTCACGAGGAAGAACGCCTTCTTTCGAAAGTGCTTCTTTTGAAAGAAGGCGTTCTTGAATGTAAATAGGGCTTCTTCGAAAGAGAGCATCCAGACTCACTAGGTGCTTTCTTTCGAAAAAGCGACTTGCTCTTTCGAAAGAGGCTTGCAATCTAGACATAGCCTTCGAGTGCTTAATGTTGGAGTGATATCCATAAGTACAGACCTTATGACTACATGAGTCCCAATGATATCAGCCCACATAATTTCTCCATCTCTTTGTCCCACTGCCATGATACTAGAAAAGGTAGCAACAAGGTAATGTTGCTTACGTCTTTATTAACTCTTCTGTGACTCTGTTTTTAGAAAACCCCTTTAAGGCTATGTCTAGACTGCAGGCTTCTTTCGTAAGAAGCTTTTCTGGAAGAAATCTTCCAGAAAAACTTGTTCTGAAAGAGAGCGTCCACAATGCCAAAGTGCATACAAAAGCAATCTGTTTTTTCGAAAGATAGAATCCACACTGAATTTGGCATAAACATGCACAGTTTTTTTCTCTCATTCTGAACTTTTTCTGAAATGTTATAGTAATTATTTATATTTGGAGAAACAGAGGATGCCCATGTCTTCACACAGAGGAACAGTGCAAGGAAGATGCAGAGAACCATGTACATGCGAGTGAGCACCTGTGCTTTTTCCTCTTTCCTCTTCTTCCAAACAAACTCCCTCTTCCCTGTCCTCACACCCCTTTTTCCAAAAAAAATCTTTCAGAAAAAGGCTTCTTCCTCATAGAAAGAGGTTTACCAATGTTGGAAAAAAACCTCTGTTGTTTCGATTTTTTTTCGAAAGAACGTGATTGCAGTGTGGATGTAATTGGAGTTTTTTCAGAAAAATAGCAGTTTTTTAGAAAAAAAAGTCTGCAGTTTAGACATACCCTAAGAGTTGGTTCCAGGCTCAGCAGGAGCTAAGTACACTCCTGGAAGCACAGGAGCAATGAAATCATTCTGTCAGGAAGCTAGAGAATGTGGAGCTTCTTTGCAGATGTAGATCTCCAGAGTCCAGCAGATTCATGAAAATCTTGGGCAGCAGGAGTGGACCTACTTCCCATTCTATTGTGAGCAGGAAGGAGATGACAAACCTTCAGAAAGACTGAGGAAAACTCAGAACCCCTTGCATAAAGGAACCCATCGTTCCATAACTGATTATGTTAAGCCCTAGCATAATCACTATCATGTAGATACTTGATTTCCAAGGTGCAGTGTTGTTATCCCTCTTGTGAACCAAAAAAGTAAACTCCACCTCTTTTTTAAGTAACGGCACAATTCAAAATCCAACTGAAGGTAATTGGATCTCTGATTCTTTTCCTGGGTTACACGGAAAGTTTTTGGGTTATAAATGACATGACATCACAATTTATTAACATACACATGCAGAAATGAACTAGACCAAACAGAGAGGACAATCCAATCTAATACATCTCTTCCAGTATAAACAAACCATTATTAAAATTATAAAAAGGAATAACATTTTCAAAGTAAGAGCAACACACATAATTAGATTTACTGTATTTTCAAGGCTTGAGAAGGACAGAACACAGTTCAGTCTTCTGTTCAGTAAATCCAGGCTTTATTGAAATACAAGTATTTTAGCATTGGATAAACATTGTACCGTATGATATGCAAAAGAGATACTTCATTGCTAACAAGACTAAAGCAAATATATATTTTGAAAGTTTCTGTGTCTGAATGTGTTATTGTAATAATCATATATAAATGGGTGATTTATGAATAAATCAGTAAAATAGATCACAGAATTGCAGGAAGAGAATTCATTCAAAATATACTCTCAGTAAGATATAGTTCAAGTCCTTTTCTCTCTTTCTTCATACTAATCTTCAGAGTAAGTAGGCAATTTCAAGAAGACTGCTACTGCTCTCTACAGTTTAAATGCATCCACTTCTTAATTACAGTCAGTAATTGACTTTGTTCTGCTCCATTCCAATCATTCACAGGAAAGCAGTTCCAAAGGCTTTGGCTGGTAAATCCCATTTAATGTGAAGGTTTCCTATCCCACTTTTATATATTACATCCTTATGATTTCTGATAAATGATTCTTGGAAAGGATTGCTAAACCATACTTGCACTTTGAACAATCAAATTTCCAGCACCCTCGAGAAAAGACATCAGTAAAAAATGCTAGCTTTGACTGCACCTTGTGATTGAACAATTTATGATCATTGCCCTAAATGCTGTATAGCTAACAAGTGTAAATGGTTCGATATTAACACATTCTAACATACTATCTCTGTATCAGGCATAGCTAAAATAAACATAGGGACAGGGAAAAATGAAAGACACCTCTGCAAAAGTATGAAGCGCTCTAGCTTGAGCTGCCAGTCTCCAGTTTGCCTATTACTCCACTTATTTAAAAATGTCATGAAATCCTTTCACTCTGCATATCCTGTTTTCAAGGGATGCATTCTGGCAAGTAAGTGTTGACATACCTTAAACAAATTGCTGGTATTGTCAATAACAGATACCTAAAAGAAAGAAATAACTTGCAGAGCACGATGTTATTTTGGGCAGGAGTGGCATCCATTGATTAGAGCAAATGACTGGGAATCAGGACTCCTGGGTTGTCTCTCTGGCATTGACTGAGATGTCACCTTTGAGATGTCATTTAAAGTACAAGATCCTCTTGCATTGTGTGGCTATTTTGCATTTCACCACACAATAGACTAGCTATAAAGCCAGTGTACCTGGTTAAGGGAGGATCATCCCAATGTAAAGATGTAATAGGTGACATACACTTCATGATGTCAGCACAGCAGAAAAAACAAAGTATGGAACATTCCTACATGTTAGTCATGGGCTGCTTAGGGATTGCTATTAGATGTTGTTCTGTAAAGTTACATGAGGAGTGGTAAGCCTGTTGACTGTGGGGCTATATAGTCTGTTCTAATGATTTTAAACTAGAAAGCAGTGTTCCCTATAAACTGTGCACTTGTGTAGCTGCTCAAGAGAGATTCCAGTGCTGCCCAGCTGATTAGCAGAGCACCTAGAGCCAGGGCTGTGTTTCTCCTAGTGGTACACATGCCTTGGTACACATAACAAAATTTATTCCTTAAATGAATGGGAAAAGTTTGCACAGAGATGGACAAGATTAGAGGAAACATTGCTAGAAAGGTGTTTACACACCTCAAGAAAAACATGTAATTATAATAATCATTACAGTGAAACTAAGAAATGCACCCTAGAATTAATTCACTGTATTCCAGCAGTGCCCCCTTCTTTACCTGACTTGTAAATTACAAAGCATATATGAATGCATTTCAGAGCTTCCCAAACCTTATCAGAGCATGAATAACAGCTGTAGGGAGTATCCCATATACTTACTTCCCTTTCATTGATAATTGAGTAACGTTCTTGTGGTAACTGCATCTATGGCTTACAGGGAGCATATTTTTAACGATCTTTGGTGCAATTTTGGAGTTGAAATCCAGGGGAAGGAGCCTATATGATCTGGCTTCTACAGGCCATTGTTAGCCTGGACCTTAGTTTGGTAACCACTGCACTAGTTCAAGACAACCACAAGGGCATTTTTATATGACCTCCAAGATATTCTTTAAAATACCTGTATTTCTATTGAAATATACACATTTCTATTCACCGGTTGCTTTGCTTTCTGCATTTGTTAGAGTCGCATTTAATAAGGTGCAGGCAATTTTAAAGATGCTGATGAAATACACTCTATAAAAGTGTCTTGGAAGCTCCAGGGAAGTTGAGAGAAATATATATGAAAGAACAAAAATCCAAATAAACTTATAAGTGCACTTATGTGAAAGTGAACCTGCTCA